ACTTACCTTTTGCCAGGAGCTGCTGTAAGGAAATACTTCTCTGCATTTCTTCTGCTTCTGTCAGTCTGTGATAATGATGAACCTGAAACTCTTCTGCAGTGGCAATTTGCAGTACTTCAGTAAATTGTGGCTTTTGTCAGATAAATTGCATCGGTAAAATTTTCCTTGATCCCCCAAACCCTCATTTATCTTGCCATTAAAGATATATATATTCTCCAACTTCCATTCTTCCCCTTTAATCTGTGAAGCACAGAATATGATGTGGTTTCAGCATTGATTTTCAAGATAATTTTTAGCCTGTCAAAGACCTTCTGTCTCAACAACTTTGAAACAAAGATTTCTGAATAGATGAGAAAGTGCAGCTGCCAGATTAACAGACACAAGAAGCTGGAAGGGAAGGATCTCGCAGATGGTTCTAATAAAACTCAGCACCCAGCAAAGGAGTGTGGTGGGGGAGTGGGTTGAAATTCAAATTGTAATCCCAGTGCGAGTTTGGGGGTTAGTTTGTGAAAGAAAGCTGCAGAAAAGATCATTTGAGGGTTGGGGAGGGGTTTATTGCTGGTTTCAGTTTTTCCTGTTGCTGCAGCACTGCCTTTTCCTTCTCCCTGTATCCCTGTGTCCATGATGCTGCCTGAGCTTGTGTTGCTGTGCCCAGAACCCTCCTCTGGAAAATAGATATTCATAGGATTTCTGAGAATGTAAAACACCAGTAAAAGCTGTTGAGGGAGGAAAATTTTCTTGTTACGGCACAGAGCAGTAAAAATGGTGCAGAGGGAGGCTTCTGTTGCTTCATTGACAGGTGCTGCTCCTGCAGCCAGAGCCAGCAGTTCCTTTTGGCCAAGCTTTGATAAACCAGGTGTTCCCTTGTAAGAAGTTTGTACGGCACGATTCATTCATAAGGATGGGTGACTTGTACTACTTTGTCTGCTTTCTGCTTTTTCCTCTCTGATTCAATGCTATTCGGGCTGTAATATTAGGCCAAAAATTAATCAATAAAAATTGCAGTAGGAGAGGTGCAGCTGAGGGCCTGGTGATCTCAAACTCAACCACCGGTTCTTCTTGATGTGACAGTTTGGGGGTCGTTGGTTCTTGTGGCCAGAAAACCTCACTTTCACCTCATCTCCAGAACCAAAGCAATCAAGTTTTTATTTCTTCTTCCTCCTCATGCTAATCTTTCTGTTCTTCAGTGAAAGGAAGAGTGTTTGAGAGCACACAGGCTTTCAGCTTACATGGCAGCCCTTGGGGAGGTGTCTTCATCTTGCTGTGTCAAAAGCTTTTCAAATCAGTAGCTCAGGAGTAGCAAATCCTTCAAAGGCATGAGTAACAGATACTTGTTTTTGAGAGTCCTTAAGCATGAGCAAGTCATTAAGTACTTCCTTTCTCCCTGTGAATCAGTTCTATTTTAAACAGGATATTCATCATGTATTTAATATTTTAAAAAGTAAAAGAAGTTTTAAACTCTTTTTCGGAGTCTCCTGTGTACACCCATGACTTTGTATTAAAAACATATCTGCAAAGGACTGCACGTTCCCTCTGTTGATGCATTCCCTTTCCTAATCTCCTTTAAGAGTGGATATATTCTGTCTGAAGCAGTTCTTTGCCCAAGGAGACCATTTTGAAGTGAAGAAGTTATTACTCTGAAAACAAGAGTATTACCTGATCAACAACGGGGTGATGCCACTTAAAAATGCAGCCTCTCTAGTGTTCAGCAACAACTGACAGCAGTATCCCCTCTGGAAATCCTGGTCTGCAGTATTTTCTGTGCCAGGTGACCCTTTGGCAAAGCTGTCACACACCCATTGTGTGAGGGAGGCCTGTGGAATTCCACTGAAGGAAATCCCATGGTTTAATGAAAGGCTTTGGCTGTGGATATTGACCCTGAGATGGTGTTATGCTCTGCTTATACAGTCAATTTGGAAAGAATCTGTTTCCCCTCTCTTTACTGTGTCATGCAAAAAGGATAACTAATATGAATATTTATAATTAGGTATTTTTACAGGGGGCTGTGTCCAAGATACAACATGCTGAGACATTAAACAGCACAAATGTTGCCAGAATTCCACCAGCTTGGCAAATCTGACAGCCAGCTGAAGGCAAAGACTAGTTTTTATGATAAAAATCAGGCCATGTGCTGAATGCTAAAGCACTGCCAGTTGTTCACAGCCCGGGAAGAGTTCACTTGCAATCAACATGAATAGGAAAAACATTTCCCAAATGATGCTTTGTTTCCTTGTGGATTTGCTTCCGTTTCTGCCTCCTTACACAGTCAGCAATCATAATTCAGATGGTGGGGTTTGAAACATAGTCTTCCTGTTACTAATCTTGTAATGAGGTGCCCCTTTCTCCCGGGCTGTCACTCAGATTGACAAGACAGAGGGAGCTGCTCCCAGCCTTGGCAGTTGCTAGAAAGTCGGGATGTTTTGCAGCAATGGCTTGTGATTCATTTGTTTAGCATTCCTCGCTCTTTGTTTTGTGAGGACAGCTTGAAGGGGACTGAGTCACATGGCAGCTCTTTTCATACCGGGCTTCTACTGCCTTCAGTCTCTGCAGAAAGCCAAGGGAAAAATGGAGGGATTTACCTACATCTTTATTTAATGTTAATTGTCTAATCAGAGCAGCAGCTAAAAGGAAGGATTTCATGTCACATTCATCAATTAACTTAAAATGTTGTGAATTAATCTGTAGTACTGGGCACTGGAACAGAAGTGAATATAAAGTGGTTTAATTCTTTTCATTTTGAGTGGTAAATTGCATTTTTTAAGTCAGTGTGCTGCTTGTGAATACAATGACACCCATATATATGATCTCTGTACCACCTGTTGCCTTAGCTACCATTTAATATGCAATATGCTTATGTTGGAGATAAAATGTTTTCTGTGTCACCTATAAAATATAATGTGATGGCAGTTTTAAAGAACACCTCGATGATCCTCACGAGCCATAGGAACACCCGATTTATATAACACTGTGGCAGTGAATCTCTGCCATCCCCAGCTGTGCCAGAGTTGTTGGAGTGCAGCCCTGCAAGGAAAGGCAAATGGCAAGCAGACACCTTTGCTCCTGCTGGGCAGAGCCTGCAGAATTCTGGGACAGAAGTACAAATGCCTGCATGCAGCCAAAATTAAAAGATGTGCATAAGTGTTGATATTTTATTCTATGGATGCAGCTCTGTCAGTGTTTCCCTGGTTTAGTGTTCTGTAGGGACGTGCCCAGAGGTGCCCATGATTTGGGAGCAGATCCCGCAGGCTGGTGGAGACGGGGCCACCTCAAGCACTAAAGGAAGAGAAATCCAGCCCCCTCCCCAGGCAGCTGCTTTAGCTGGACCCTGCTGCCTGAATCCACAAAGGTCCCAGCCCCCTGCTCTTCTAGCCAGGAAAAAAGGCAGGAAGGGGTTAAAATTTTACACAAACGTGTCACCTTATGGAGGGACTTTAAATAATCTTTAAATGCAGATGTTCCCTGCTGTGAAGCATTTGCTCATTTCTTTGTTCTTCAGGGCTGTTTTTTCTTATTTCAAAAAACTCAATAATAGGCAAAAAAATTTTGCTGCCGAGTGAGGTTCACAAAACTACGAAGGACTGTGGTGTTGCCTCTCCATTCCTTCTGGAGGATTTACAGGGCCCCCCTGTTCCCCTTTCTTTTCTTCCCCTACCTTGCATTTCTAGCTAATCCTATCTGCAAAAACAAACTCTTTGGTAATATTTAGGTTGGGAGAAGATGATTCAATTTTCTCCATCCAGAGTAAGCTTTTGACTCATCTCTAATATCTCCATTTAGATGATGAACCATAAGTTCAAGTTTAAGGCTAATTTATTGGCTCTTGCTTTATCTACCTCCAGTAGTAGGGAGTTTACCCTTCTCCTTAAGTACACTTTCAAGCACATAATGTGTGTTTTCTGTTAGGATGGTTCATATTCATCTTACCTGTTGCTACTCATCTGCAGAGCTATTTCAGTATCTTCCTTTCAGAGGTCCTAAAAAATGTTTTTTTATATGGTTAATAGTTGTCAGGGCATTTTGCTTATGCTGCTCAGCAGTTGATGGCTTTGTTTGTCATGGTGCTCAGCCTGTGCAGGCTCACCAAGCTGTGGTTGCTTTGCACAGAAGTCTGAGTGCTTTGCTCTGCTCCTTGTTATCTGTGGCTTTCATAATATGAATAATTTGAGTTTGCTTTTCTTTCTGCCAAATTTGTCATACACAAATGTGTTCACACTTGAAGTCACAGAAGCAGAATACCAGAGGGGAAGAGATGAGGAGGAGGGAAAAAAAAAAAAACCACCCCACAAATAAAAGCCCAAAAGAACTAGACAGTGCTGTCTCCTTGCATAACTCCAGACAGCTCTGGGAGCTTTCAGGCACAGCCTTGACACTCTCAGAAAAACAGCAAATGCTGCTCTGCTGGGAGAGGAGCCTGGAAATGTCTCTGCCTGTTCAGGAGTGCTGGGTAAGGTGAAGATGATTTGAGTACCTTACTGGCCTAACCACCATAACCTGCTAACGTGTGAACAGAAGTAACATAAACCTGTGCTTCTGTTCTGTTAAAACAGGCAATGTACAGAGCTAGTTGTCAGGTTATTTCCCAGCTCATCCTTTATATTTTGTTTCGAAGGTGTAATTAAAAATTAAGAAAATTAGTAAGATTAGCTGCTCCTTTTCCTAGGAAAAGTCCTTAATTATTCCAGCTGGCTTCTACAGGCTGTTCCTCAGCGTGTGCCTCCAACCTGTGCTTCCATTGCAGAGCTGCAGTGTGGCTGCTGAGCAGATAAAATTAAAGGAAGACTGCAGCAGTATGCTCCTGGGGGACAGAAAACAAACGGGAATGTTAAGGAAGACAAAAGTCCGGTGCCAGCTATGCAGCCAGAATTCTGAAAAGAATTCAAGTGTCCTTTGACATGGCTCTTGCAGCATTTCAGAGATCAGGAAGTCACCGAAGAAGGAAAATAAACAACAAATCAGATTTGAAATTTGTTGGAAATAACCTTATTTTCTGTCCTTCGCAGAAAATGTTGCTGTCCTGACCAGCAGTCATGAAGAGAAGGGGGTGAAGCGAATTTGTCTGGAGAAATAGGAAGTTTTGAAGTTTTCAGTGGGATTTATTACCAGTGGCTGCAGGAGGTGTTGCCAAGCCAACCGTTGACACTGGAATGGATGAAAAGCCTCAGACTTGAGCGGTAACCCATCTTCCTGACATCTTTTTATTTCCCTAATACAGAACCATTTGTGTGGATTATAAAGGATTTTGTTCTACTACTACCAGAGTTTAAATAGAGCAATCTTACAGGGGCCAAACATTGGCTGAGCATGTGAATGTGTAAGCTTTGTTCATTAGCAAAAAGTTTGAATTTTAGGATCTGGTGGTTTACTCGGTAGTTGTAATTTTTCCCTGAGGGTTCATCCCATCTCTTCACTGAAAAACAAAATCAGATTTTGTAGATTTGGATTTTTCTCCATTGCTAACTGTCTTTCCACCCAATGCCCAGCAAAACTGCAGCTTGGAACAGGTTGTAGAAGCAGCTCCGTCCCTGATTTTAGTTATAAGGTAAGTACTTCATGTGACTTCTGCACTGTGTGGAAAGACACATATGGTACACTAGGAAGGTTGCTCATTTCTGCTAGACATCAATAGTTCCTCAAAAAACTCTTCTTTTGCCATTTGCTTCTTTTCTTTGCTTATCAAGTTCTTACTTGCTTATATTGTTCTCTGTCTATCGTTCGTAAGTGGTGTTAAACATCTGAAATACCTCTGTACTTGAGACCTGCCTTCCCCAGGTCAGTGTACTAGTCAGAAATACAGAACTGTGCTACTTTTTAAAGTCAAAGTGGTAGTAAAAAGACCCCCAGCTCTTCATCACTATCCTGGTGTAGGCTCTGTCCCTTTGCAGCAGTAGGTGAAGTGGAGCCAACCACTAAAACCAAAAGGTTTAGGAAGGATAGAGGGAAATTGCCACACCTTTAATACTCCCCCGAGATGATGTTTCAATATCTTTTGAGACAAAAGAGTGAAAGGAGGTGTTTGTACCCTTCTCAAAGCCTGACTGACCCTGTGTATGATAGAATTTGCCTCAGTTTGGTTACACTGATGGGAAACAGTAACGGGTGTCAAAAATGACACATCACCGTGTTTCTTTCAGTTGGCATGAATAAAACAAAGGTAAATCTGAAGTGTGTGGTGGTTTTGTTCAAATTGGTTCTTTCATATTCTGTTCTTGAGAGGAGAGCAAACAGATCTGACAGTAGTTTTATGTGACTTTGGGTAGAAAAATTAATCCTGCATTTCTGAACCTTGTAAATATACCTGTTCTCCTTTGTCAGTCCAGGTCAGGTAGTTATTCCACCCACATATCATAGGCTGTGTTAAAACTTCAGTGTGAGAACAGTCAGTGCCCTAGAAGGATTCTCTCCTAATTTCTGTGGGGTTAAGGGCAAGATTTTAGAAAATGATCAGCATTAATGTAGCAGTTCCTATCTGAGATCCACACTAAGGCTCCCGTGTCTCTTGTGAGAGGACAGTCAGGCCAGCCCTTAGGAGCCTCCCAACCACTTTCAGCTCAGCCAGTGCATCCATCAGATAGTCAGTAGGCTGTTGGGGTTCTTTCCTAATTGACTTCCCATCTCCAGGAGTTGTCTGGTTTGTTGCCAGAGTTGCTTGTAAGCCGTGGTGGTGTCTCCTGCTGCACTGGCAGGAAGGGAGGGCTTGCAGATTCCATCTGTCTGCAGTGGTGACAAATGAAGCTCAAAAAGGGCTTATAAGAAAAATGTTTTTCTTCTATGAGGTTTTCAGGTTTACTGTGCTCTTGTTAATGTTTTTTCTGTTGTTCTCTGTGCCCCTGCAGTCCTTTCTCTTTGAATGTGTGCACATTTCCTTACAGGTCTCTGATTCGTTGACGTGTCTAGTGAGAACAAGAAAAAGACAGTTCCAGTTTGTTTTGCAAAAGCCGTGGAGCTGGGGCACTTCAATGGGATTTTAGGTTTCTGTAGGGCACTTTAGAGCCAGAAATATGAGCAGCACAAGTTAAAAAGCAATGCTGGTCACAAACTGTTACCCATCCTTACTAAGGAAAATGCACCACCTTGGCTTGTCGTTATGCAGCAGGTCAGGAGAAGACACAAACGGGTTGCAACCACCATCATTTTTGAGGAAACGGTTTTAGAAAGCTGGAAGGTGATGTTTTCTTTGTTCCCTTGTATATCACTGCCTGGCAGAGCAGCTTCTGTATGCATCCAGCCTTTGTCCAAAGAGCACTAACTGTAAATCTGCTGGGGCTAACGGCTTCTGCTGAGGAAAAAGGTTCCCATAATTGTTTCTACATCCAAATTACTATTATTTAGCTGATAAAAGTGACAATCAGAGGCCCAGGAACAGGGATAACAATGCTACTTGATAGATTTCTCTGCTGGCACAGGAAGATCTTATTCTGCTGAACATCAAGAGGTCTGTGTGGTTGAGGGAAGTGCTGGGTGAGCCGAGTGGGAGGAGGCCTGGGAAGAGCCAGGGGTTGCTGTTTTGGGCAGATGGATGTCCTTCCTGCTGGAGATGCTCTGGAGTGGCCTAGGTGGGAACTGATAGGGTGAACATACTCCTTCTGTCTCTGAGAACAGCTGGAGGATGTTGCCTGGGAGGTGCTCTTGGCTGAGGGATTTTAAATGGGAGGGTTGTCTCTCAGCTTGAGAGCACATTTTTTCCGCCTGACTCACTGGGTGAAATCTAAATGAGTGATAAAATTTCTAAAAGTAATGTTGAATTGGTCGGAATAATAAAAGGTGGATTTATCATCAGGAAGGAAGAGCAAAATAAGGGCAAAGATTCAATGCAGAGGAAGTCACCACCTTCCCAGTAACAATGGAAGGCCGTGGGCAGCTCACACACCTTTGTGCAGCAGAGTCCTCCTGGCTCTGCAGCCACACAGCAAGTTACCATTGGAGAGGATTCTTCTGAAACCCTTCCCAGCCTCCTTTCCCATGTGCAGAACCCACACACGTTCTGTGGGATGCTTTCCATTGAAAAGACAGTGCACTACAACGTGTTTGCATAGGTTAACTTGCCGTGTAGAACACAAGCCTGTGTGTGCATGAAAGGAAACTGCCCACTATTCCTCCAGAACTCATTTTTTCCCAGGAACAACACCAGCCTTTGTTGCTTCTTTTTGACTTGTGTGCTGGTTTAAAAGTAAACCGGCAGGAGAAATGAAGCCAGCTCAAGAGAGAGATTACAAATCAGAGTTACAATTTACTAAAAAGATTACAATAAATGCAATGATACAGATAAAAAACTGGTTTTAACCCCGAAAGACAGATGTATAACCCCACACCCTGGGACAAGAACAGAAGGGTGTTCATTAGCCCCTGTGCTGAGCACCACGTGGCCCCACTGGGTGCAAAGTAACAGGAAAGGAAACCTGCTGGTCCAGATGATGGTCACAGTCCTGTTGGAGTGATGATCACAGTCTTGTCCAGAGTGGCAGTGGCAGTCCTGTTGGAGTTCTGGTCCTCCTCTGGATCTGAGGAGTGGTGCCAGAAGTCCCAAAACCCAAAGTTTATATACGTTCAAGTTCAGGTGGGGATGTCCAGCACCTCCCCCGGGACAGGGAGTTTCATGGTGGGTGATTTAACTCTGAATCATGGGATATTTTCAGAATCTTTGATGGTCTAGCTGTTGCAGCTGCCTATTGTGCCCGTCCAAGGTGGCCCATGAGCAGAGATGACCCCTCAGGCTGGGTGTGAAGGTGCTGATGTCTCCCCGGAGGGGAGTTATCACAGCTGAGACATTGGTGTGAAAACAAAAGAACACTGCCCTGCCTCACAGGGTTCTTTAACACCCAGCTTGTAGCCTGAGGTGTCAGATGTGCCCTGGGCAGCTGCTGCAAACAATGCATTTATTAACAGTCCATCAGAAATGACATAGAGGGTGTAGAATACACAGTTTTGGTTATACCCACATAGTGATAAACTGGTCCCAGCCCCTGTAACTAGAACGACTTGGGAGGTAGAACAAGGAAGGAACAGAAAATGCTGGCACTGAAGAGGAGTCTGGTGGGATCCATGTGTGCTGTAGATCAAGTGAGGTACCTGCAGGGAGGGGCTGTTGGCTTAAATGCATTTTTAAGATAATAACCATAATAACATTCTTTTAATGATTTTACATTTCTATACTGTGTTTCCTCTGTGCATTCCTGAACAGCTTTGCCAAACTTCAACTGCTGTATCAATTTATTTGTATTTACAGTTTGGAGAAGCACTGGGGACAGAGGCACTGGGCTGTGTGTGCTCTCGGCTGCCTTCTCCATCAGGGCTGCAGGAATCATGGAATTATAGTGCTAAAACAGGAAAGAGGTAGGGGAACAGGGTAACTGCAATTACATATAAACAGTAGAAAGATTCGAAATCCAAGATTTTTAGCTCTATCTCAAAAGAAGCTGAAGATACTGAACTCAGGATGTGTTTGGGTTGGGGTGTAAGGAAATAAGACTCTTCTTGACCCGAGACCTGGCTTGCTCGTTTGTCAGGTCCAACCAGGCTTTCCCATCTGAGGTTTAAATGACTGAAGGCTGATTCAAAATGAAACCACTGACAGACTAAGAAACAATAACATAAAAGTATTTATTCCATGTCCCTTGTATGCAGTTCTTTCCAGAGGGCAATTCCCATTTTTCACTAGCTTGCAATAGTCTCTTCCACTTATGCTTGTCTCTGAAATCTGCCCATCACAGGTGTGTTAAAAATACTGTCCTTGTCAGTTTAGCTCACAAAAGGCTGTGTTTGCTGAATTCATGCTGGTGTGATGGCTGTCCTTGGAAACTTCAAATAAGTGGGACAACATGGAAACATCATCCCATAAGTGTGTGAAGCTCCAAACCAGTGCTGCTCTTCATTTTGGACACGCTGCTCTCTGTTACATCCAAACAACTCTGCTGCTGCATATTGGCTGTTGTAGCTCTCTGTGATGGGATGGCAGATGGGATTATGGTGGGAGCAGGGAACTTTCAGTGGTGGGGAGATGAGAGGCTTTGCTTGTGGTGAGGTCTCCGCTTTTCATTTGTTCAAAATTCGTAACGAATTCACCTTCTCTGAACTTTCTGTCATGTGAAACTCCTGTATTTCACTCTGACATTTCATTTATCAGCTGTTCAGTTGGTGATAATTACATTCTATTTTTCATGCTGGGTCCTTTCAT